GCTGTTCTTAGCACTCATCACAAAAAATTGGATATACGCTACTAGTTTTAGTCTTGAATCATGTCAATCATAATGTAAATTAAGATGCTGATTTAAATGTTTTATTTTCACATATAATCTCATGTTGTGGACTTCATTCTGCAGATAATTAATGTTTACAATCAACAATATGAGAGTGCTGCTGCATTTTGGCCACATGTTCATAGCCGCATAATAGCAAGCTTGCTGATATCTCAGCTTCTACTTCTGGGTCTGCTCAGTACAAAACAGGCTGCTAATTCCACTCCTCTGCTTGTTGTCTTACCCGTACTGACATTATATTTCCATAAGTACTGCAAAAATCGTTTTGAGGCTGCATTTAGAAAGTACCCACTTGAGGTAAATTTACCATGCTTTGCAAATAGCTAAAGGAATAGCAAAAGGTTCTTTTATTAATTTGTGGTTCACATATTAATAAAAGTGTTATCTGGTACTCGTTTCTCAGAAAGCGATGGAAAAAGACATAAAGGACAAGACCACAGAACCTGAACTAGACTTAAAGGCCTACCTTGCTGATGCTTACTTGCACCCAATTTTCCAAACATTTGAGGTGGAGGAAGAGGAGTTAGTGCAGGTTAGAGCTGTCAGGGTTGATAAATATCAATCTCATGTTGACAATGAACAAACTAGCAATCTCAGCTCCCCATCCTCACCTCATCAAGTCGATCATGCTGCCTCCTCAGCCAACCACCATGCATATCATCCAACTTCCTCACCACAATATGTGTACAAAACTAGTTCCCCACCCCAATACTCTGATGATCCCACCTTTCCCAGCTACTACTCCTACCATTACGAAGCCGAGCCATGAACTTAAACAGAATAATGTCTGTAGGTGAAGTCCTAACCCGTTTGTTTAACTTATTAAACTTTCTGCTGTGCATTAACGTTGGTGCTATAGTCCCTTCAATTTCCATGTAATTATTCTCCTGTTAAGATGCAAGTGCATGGGACTTAGCTTTCTTTAGAAACCATGCTTGCAAGTTGAAATTTTTAGTATGAATTAGGAGCTGCTCCAGTCTCAATGGTTTGGTTGAAGATCTGAAGTCATTCTAGTTAGCTGTTCTAAGTGGATTTTCCAAGGTTTGTAGATTTCTCTTCCCTCTTTCAGAACTGGCTTGTAACTATTGCTTTGTAATTTACATCTTCACATTTTCATCAATTTGAAAGTTTATTTTTGACAGTAACCTAATTGTGTTAAATGTTATAATCCCACATTGATGAAGTTTGGTGGTCGTGTTAGTCCAGTACCAAACGTGGAACATAGGGATTAAAAAATTAATTTATAGTCTGATACTATAATAAAATCTTAGGCAATTACAGGTTCACAGCTACGTCATGAATGCTAACTGCTCATAACAGGCAATTACAGGTTCAAGCCTAATTGCCTGTGCATGTAATCTTCTGTTTAGTGAGCTGACTTGGGTGTCTTGGCACCACCTTCCCTCTACATTTGTAATTTGTCAAGAAACTTGTCAAATAGTAATTATAATAAAAATAGTCGTTCTGGTCTAGTGACATTGAATCTTGGGTTAAAACTGTTCACATCCTGTGCGCGTTCAAACCTCACGGAAATCTTTTTTCTCATCTTTTAATTAACCTATAAATAATTGCAATAAGTTAAAAAAAAATAATGATAATAACGTATCAATAAAGGAGAGAGCCACATGAATCAAATGAAAATATGAACATCTAACTCATTGACATTGACTTAATTGATTAATAAGTCATTTAAATAACATTGACAATGTAGGTTTAAATACTTTTAATATTATTTGAGTGCAAACAATTATAATGGGCATGTGATTCACCCTCCAAGGTGGAGTCTTTTTTTTTTTTTTTTTTTTATACTTGTGGACAAAACAGTTTCTAAGTGTAAAAATCTAATATCCATAAGATTAATTAGGCTGAATGACTCAAACACCTGTATGCATCTAGAAAATGTAATAATACAAGTGCAAATGTGCAATTTCCATAGAATAAGTTGGGTTGTAGTGCTTTACTATCTTGTGTTATGGCTATCGCTGTAGCTATAGCTCTCTTTTTTTATTAATTTTATTATTTTAAAAATATATTAAATATTAATAAAAATTAATAAAAATATGGTACTACTAAAAATTAATTAAAAAATAAAAATTTACTTCTATACAAGGTGAAGCTCGAGTCAAATATAGAAACAAAACTGACATTTATTCTTCGTTTGTTAAAAAAGTTGTTGTTTTTTCTTCTTTTTTTTAAAGTCTTTATTAAGTAAAAAGTGAAATGTATATTTTTTTATGTCAAACCGTACAATTACTTTGCTACTCAAGAAATAAAAACTAGTAAAACTAGATACTAATCATGCCTTGCATAGAGATGTTACAATAAAATAAATTTGAAAATTTATTTATAAGAATATGTTTTTTTTTTATTTTTTATATAAGTATAAAATATTATTTACTTTAAGAAATTGATTATACAAATTAATAATAAAAATATAAAGCAAATGCTAAAGACCAAATTCTAACGTATAGGGATGGCAATTTCTCTTTATTTACATGTGACCTTGCAAGGTTCCCACCACGCACGTGGGAATAGGGGAGCATTTTTTCTTTGTAAAATTTCACAAGGAGTTTCCACTACCCTGCATGTCTCGTGGAATCTTATTTCTTATGAAAAATTAAAAAAATAAATAAATATATTAAATTCAACACAATTTAAATATTTAATTAATAGGCATAGGCATACTCTTTACTCATTTTTAATTTTAATTCAATATTAAAGTCCAATTGTTTTAAATAAAATCAAATTCAACATTTTTTTTATTTTAATCCAATTATTTAAAATATTTTATTTTAAAAATAATTAAATTAATTTTATAATATAATTGGCGAGATAGGATCCCTACGAGCAATGAAGGCTAGGGGTAAATTTTATTCCCATAAAAAATCTTTATGGGAATCCTCTCTCGATTTTTGTGGAGATGAAAATGGATTAACATTTTTTAATCTTGCAGGTTTTCGTTGTCATCCTTACTAATGTATATTATTGTTTTTCAATAAAAAAAAGGATAGAAAAACTATTCATCTGCACATATACTTCTCTTTCAATGGATTTAGAGCATCATTCACACATTTATAGAAATCTCCTCTTGGTGATATAGTTTAAACATTATCTTAACAAATTCAATTGATTGACCGATGATAAAAGTTGTTGGGGAAAAAAAATGGAAATCAACAATGGAAAAGAGTGAAATTAACAATTAGTCAAACAAATAGTAATAATAATAAGTAAAAAAAAAAAAAGAAACAAACAAACGAACAAAATCTGCTTTTGCAATTGAATTGAAAACACATTCTTTTAAGTTTTGCCATTTAGAAATAGCACTGCAGTCCCGAGGGATCAGAGAGATACCCACTTAAAGGGGAATTTTGTGAGGGGGAATTTTGTGAGGGGTAAATTTGTCTCCGTTCCCATTACTTGTTGGGAATTGAATCTCAATAGGGATCCTCATTTCTTGCTATGAAATACTAATTTTTTTTCAAACAAAATTTGCAAATCTAAAGAAAAAAAAATACAATTCGCTATTTATTATTTTTTTAATTTTCCTTTAATTTAATTTTTTTATCAAATTAAAATTAAAATGTTTAATAGGTTGGGTTTTTTTTTCTTTTTTAAAAAATGATTTTATAAATTAGTTTTGACTAAAAATAAGTAATGATCATGAGTTGGATGTTTGGGTTTAATTAGTAGAGATGGAGATTCTCACCAGGCTCCATAGTGATGAAAGAAAAATACCCTCCATCTTTCCCTTGTTCTCATTATCGAGATCTCCACAGTAAATTGAGAAAATTGTCATCCTTAATTGCTTCATAATGTGAGAAAAGCTTCAAAAATCTCCATTAAAAAAGGAATAATGATAATTGAGATGATAAAAAAAAAGATAAACTATATATACAATTGTTCCTTACATCGGTGTTATTATTCAACATAAGCTCCACAAAATCCGTTTTGCCCTTAAATGCTACAATTAGTAATGGTAAGCTGACATTAGCCATTGTATTAACGTCAACACCTTTCTTTGTTAAGAGCCTTAGCAGTTTCTTAGATCTTGCAGCATTCCAACAAATTAAAAATTTTATATTGCAATGCAACCAAAGCAAAATGGGAGAGAAGGAGAAGTTCCAAACCCACAAATTGCAAAGTAATCATGCAAGTAGAAATAGAATTTTGATAGCATCGTTATATCATTGTTAAGAGATATAGTTGAATTCTTGTCATTATAGAAATATTTTTTTTTTGAACAGTCATTATAGAAATATTAAACTATAGAGTTACTGTAAGAATCTATTTACATATAAGTTTTACATATAAATCTTAAATACTACACTTATATAAAATTTTAATCATTTATTTTTTTACTTTTAATGATTGATATTTATCATAATTTTTTAGATGAAAGCTAATCTGAACTTATTTAAATTGTAAATAAAAATTATTTAATTAAAAAAATCTATAATATTAGAGATTCTATTCTTATCAAATAATTAATATTTTATAATTTAAATCAATACAAATTATAGAACGGTTATTTAATTTATTAAAATATCTCTAATCAAAACGGAAATTTATATATAGATGTATTTGCATTTTTGGTATGAATATTTACAGCAGTATCTTTTTTTCTTTTTTTCTTTCTTCTCCTTCTTCTTCTTCTTCTTCTTCTTCTTTATCCATTTTTTTTTTAAATTTAAATATGAACAATTGAAAAGAAGGAGACGAAAGGGTTGGAATACCACAAGATGAGAATATTTTTAACAGCAAATTAGGTGGCCACGATTTTCATCACGACCCTCTACAGCAGTCTCTACTGGCCCAATGCTCCAAAGACTTCCTCTTCTTCTTAAACGCTCTTTAAGCTGCACCCACACTGTCTGTTGACTCTCTTCCTCTGCTATCTATTCCTTTTCCTCTGTTTCATCTCTACTTTCAATTACTTCGTATCCTCTCTGCAAATTCACATCAATAGCAACATTAAACTCTCATTTCAGCTAACAAATGGCGCCAGCGCGCCACCCAGATTGGTATTCACCGGAAACAGGCATCTACAAAAGCATGCACTCGTCCGTCCCCCTACCCGCTGACCCATTTCTGGACGTCGTTTCCTTTGTTTTCTCTCACCGACATGACGGCCTCTCAGCTTTAGTCGATTATTCATCTGGGCGTTCAATATCTTACTCAAAGTTGCCACCTTTGGTCCAATCCGTGGCAGCTGGCATCCGCAACATGGGTGTGTCTAGAGGCGACGTGGTTCTGCTTTTGTTACCCAATTCAGTTTACTTTCCTATTGTCTTCCTTGGTGTTCTTTCTTTGGGTGCAATTGTTACAACCATGAATCCGCTCAGCAGCGAACCGGAAATCAAGAAGCGGATTCTTGATTGCGATGTGCGCTTTGCTTTTACTGAGTTTCAAAATGCTGAGATATTAAAGAATCTGGGGGTTTCTGCAATTGGGGTGCCGGTAAACATGAACTTTGATCGGACTCAAGTTCATTTTTCAACATTTAGTGATCTTATTTCTGGTGATTTTGATACACCGCCGAAACTCGCGATTAGACAGGAAGATCCTGCCACAATCATGTATTCCTCGGGTACAACAGGCGTTAGCAAAGGCGTTGTTTTATCCCATGGAAATTTTATAGCAATGGTTGAGCTTTTTGTGCGGTTTGAGGCTTCACAGTATGAATATTCACCTTCAACAAATGTGTATTTGGCAGTTCTTCCAATGTTCCATATATATGGCCTTTCACTTTTTGTGCTGGGATTGTTGGCCTTGGGGTCTACCGTTATTGTCATGAGGAAATTCGATCCCCACGAAGTGGTGAAAGCCATCGGCAGGTATAGAGTAACACATTTTCCTGCTGTTCCACCAATTCTGATGGCACTGACAGAGAAAGCGAAGGGTGTTCGGGAAAATGGCTTAGAGAGCTTGAAACAGGTTTCTTGTGGGGCAGCTCCTTTAAGCGGGAAATGCATAGAGGAATTTCTTCGGGCTTTTCCTCATGTTGATTTCATTCAGGTACTTACATGCTTTGTAGGGGTGCCAAAAAGCCGCCCGATATTAACTTGATCGTAATTCAAACTATAAAAATGAGTTAAGTTTTACTTATCTTAATTTATAATCAATAAAGAACTTGTAATATCAACTCACGTGGGTTACGAGTTGGGTTCGAGTCAATCTAAGGTTTGGCAAATTGACATGTTTGCTTTATTTTTTTATTATTTCTTTAAAACATTATACTTATTATTTTTAATTAATTTTTTTTGTTAAACTCTTAATTTAGTCTTTGAACTATTGTATGAACCTCGATTTGGTCCCTAAACTAAAAAACTCCCTGATTTGGTCCCTACTGTTTATTGATTTAGCCCTAAGTTGGTTCTTTCATACAAAAAATTGTTGATGTGTTTGTTACTTAACGACAAAAAATAGTTATTTAGTGGCCACATGTACGTTAATAACAAGACGTATCAATTGTTTTTTGTACGAAATAACCAATTTGGGACAAATTGATAAACAGTAAAGATCAAATCAAGGGTTCGTATAATAATTTAAGAATCAAATCAGGGATTTTTTAGTTTAGGAACCAAATCAGGGGTTCGTACAATAATTCATGGATCAAATTGAGGATTTAACCTCAATTTTTCTATTAGTAACTCTCTCTATTGATTCATACTCTTTGACCTCCTCTCCATTACTCACACAATTTTGAACTTATTTTGAGTATTTGCTCATCATTATTTCTTTTTCATTCTCTAGAAATTATATGGGTTTGATATAATTATTAAGTATCATGAATTAAATGAAAATGCAACTAAAATATTGAAGATGTAATGCAATGACATAGATATAAGGGGTTAGTGAAAGATGTTCGACTAAAATATATATTTAGTCCTTTACCTTATTAAACTTGAAACTTTTAGCCCCTTACTTTATGTTATAAAGTTTTTAGCCCATGAACTTAAAGGTTCGAAGATTTTAACCCCTACACTAATGAAATCTATTAAGTCTTTGTTATAGCAAAAATAAAATATTTATAGAACCAATCCTCAAAGATTAAAAATGTAACAATTTAGTTTCAAAAATTTTAAAATTAAAAAAATTAGTAAACTAAAAACAATTAATAAATGACTTTCTCATATACACTAAAACAATATTAGATATCTATAATCAAATCGAACAATTAGCTCAATTTGAAAAAAAAAATTCTGATTGTGATTGGAGAAAATTTATTGGCTGAATTAAGACAAAAAGTCTAAGAGAATAGAAGAATGTAATTAAAAAATTTTCTTTAATCTCATAAGATTTATTTTTTTAGATTGAGCTCATCATTCAATTTGATTGTAAATTGTTCTCATGTACGTGACAAAGTAATCCATTAATTATTTTTAATTTACTAATTTTTTTTTAATTTTTAATCTTTTGGAACTAAATTATTATAATTTTAATTTTTAAGGACTGATCATGTAAATATTTTATTCTCATTTTAATAGAGAGTTAACTGATCAAGTTTTTACTGATTTAGTCCCTAAACTAAAAAAAATCCCTGATTTGGTCCATACTGTTTACTACTTTAGCTCGAAATTGCTCATTTCATACAAAAGTAGATGACGTGTCTTATTATTAATATGATATGAGGCTGTTAAATAATGGTTTTCTGTCTTTCAGTAACAGACACGTCAATTTTTTTTAACAAAAGGACCAACTTCGGGCCAAATTAGTAAACAACAGAAACTAAATTAGGGATTTTTTTAGTTTAAGGACCAAATTTAGGGTCCATACTATAGTTGAGAGACCAAATTTCCATACAATAGTTGAGAGACCAAATTGGGGATTTAACTTAAGATAAAAGGTTAAATGCGCACTTTAGCCAAGATATTCTTGGAAGAGCAATTTCATCTTAAGGAGAAGTTTAAACTCTTTGATAAATTATGTTTCAAGATGATGATAGCAAAATTTAAACTTTTTTATCAAAGAAATTTTAATATTTTAAGTTTAGTATTGTTAATCAATTTATTGTTATATATAACTTATTATTATGTATAACTTTATGATTTGTTCTTTATTTAAATATTTGTGGTGAAAACTAAAAGTGCTTAGTGTTAATGAGTTACAATACTTTAGAATTTTAAGTTTTAATTGACTTTAGATACCTATGATTTTGTTTGTATGTAACAAATTTTTTTTTAAAAATAATTGTAAAGAATAAAAATAAAATAAGCTCATAGGTTAACTCGTAATCTGTTAAGGTTAGGATATGATTGACATTTGCTAGCCTGCAACCCATTCATGACTCAAACCCAAATTTGACTCAACTCGCCCATTTGCTAGCTAGGCCTAGCAATGAATCTCAGTCCGTTTCCTGAGTTGCTTCTTAATTCTGTTAAAATCATATGGAATTGAATTAAGACACATTTATGGTCTTTATATGCTTATGTCTTTGGTTTTTTGAAATTAATGCTGTGAACCTGTATTTGTTTTTAGGGATATGGCCTGACTGAATCGACTGCGGTTGGAACTCGTGGCTTCAATACTGCCAAATTTCAGAAATATTCTTCAGTGGGACTTCTGGCACCAAACATGCAAGCTAAAGTGGTGGACTGGAATACTGGATTTTTCTTGCCTCCTTGTAGCTCTGGTGAGCTCTGGCTAAGAGGGCCTGGAGTTATGCAAGGTAACAAAATTTCTGTCTTTGTCCAAGCACTTATATTTACCATTTTAGCTTGCATCAATTAGACAAGTTCACAATTTGTTCTTGATTTTCCAGGATACTTCAAAAATTCAGAGGCGACCACGATGACAGTTGACAAGGATGGTTGGCTGCATACTGGTGATATTGTTTGTTTTGACAAAGATGGATATATGCACATATCTGACCGTATGAAAGAGATTATAAAGTACAAGGGCTTTCAGGTGTGGTTTATCTTTTTCATGTAATTATTAATTCATCAGACATACCTCACGACAATTTTCATTCCTAGGAGAATAGCAGGTCCAGTCTAGTATGGTGTTTCTACATGGTTGTGCACTACTTATGAATGCCTCCTCTTGCTTTCTGCAGATTGCTCCTGCTGATTTAGAGGCTATACTGATTGCTCACCCTGAGATACTTGATGCTGCTGTAACAGCGTAAGCGCAAGAGTAGTGCATTTAGAATTTTTGCTCTTAGGAATTGAACATTGTTTGGGTAGAACTGAACTTTTTTCCTCTTAGTTCCTTGGTTTTTGATTAAGAATTTAGGCATATGTTTTTACAAATATGGTTCACAAGGGAAATGGTTAGGCATCATGTGGCAATGGGACAAAAATTCCAAGTCCTGCCATGACAACTCAAAATATTACTGAACCAAAACTGCATTCAATCAGATCTGTTTGGTTATCTGTGCAATGAGTTAGTGAATCTCAAGCCAGATATATCGAACACCATGCTATGTCCTCTTCAGCCTGAAAAATACAATCTTTAAATCCTTTTGTGGTCTGATCTTGTTTGCCGTTTTCTTTCTTTTCCGGTACTCAAGCGCCAAAGATGAAGAGTGCGGGGAGATCCCTGTAGCATTTGTTGTGAAGAAGCCAGGGCCGGACAGTGTGCTTTGCGAGGAAGCTGTCATCAACTATGTTGCTAAGCAGGTTTGGCGCTTCTCAGCTTCTGTTCTATTTTGGATTTGTATCGCCTCTCAAGCTAAGTAATCAATCAACGATGAAAACTTATTGTCGATTTTCTTTCTTTTGGTAGGTTGCACCTTATAAGAAAGTAAGAAAGGTGATTTTCACTCCCTCTATACCAAAATCTGCAGCTGGGAAGATCCTCAGAAGAGAACTCAGGACCTTATTGAAGTCTACACTTTAAAATCTCAATTTCATTTCACTATTATTATTATTATTATTTTTTTAAGGAATAATACCAAAATCTGCATCAATTCATGCTTGAGGCAGAGAATAACACGCATTTCATTATTGAAAACCAGCAAGAAACGAAGTACGCTAAAACTTGTTTTATTTGATTTTTATCTTGTTATTTGATATTAGTTAAATATAAGAGTGTTTGCATTGTGATTTGGTTTCGAATTTTAATTTTTTTAAACCAATTCAATTTATTATTATATGATAATTAAATCAATTTAACACTTAAATTAGATCAGTATCCTTTAGTTAGATTAATTGGGTTTTAATACTATTAAATATATAAAATAATATAATAAATTTTAACATTTAATAGAAAATATAACCATAAGATATATTAACATTCAAATCAATATAAATATAATAAATAACACAAATTAGAAATAAGTTCTTATATTCCTTTATAATTGTAAAAATTGAAAAAATATGAAATTTTTTTTTTATTACATCACCAAAGCGATGTCAAAAATAATAAAAGATGACTTTAAGTTTCAATTATAGTGTAAGTAATTCTTAAATATTAAAATTAGAATTTTTTTTTCCTTAATGCACCACTAATTCAATTTCATCTTTCA